TTCTTCTTCTTCTTCTTCTTCTTCTTCTTCTTCTTCTTCTTCTTCTTTTTAAATGTAGGTGGCTACTAAAGCACAAACTTACACAGGTCAAGGTTCAGAGAATGAGAAACTATGGGATTCTCACCCATAAATAGAACACATATTCCACATCCCCTTCACTCAAGGGTTAGGGATCACTGTAGAAAAAAACAAACAAACACACACACACACACACACAAAAATAAAAAACTTTCAAGAGCCAGAGGCAGTGGATAACTACAGGGAAGCACTGTCTTCTGGATACAATGGAAAAGTTTACATATGAATTTACATTGGTTGTGGATTGTAACAGCTTATCTTTTTATTTGTTTGTTTTGTTGAGACAGGGTTTTACTATGTAGCTCTGACTGTCCTGGAAATCGCTCTGTAGACCAGGCTGGTCTTGAGGCTGAGCTTATCTTTTTTTAAACAGTAGTTTGGGGCATCAAACTCAGGTTCTTATACTTTTTAAAAACAAGAACAGATTTTTTATGGACAAATAATAGTTGCATATCTTTTGGAAGTACAATATAGTATTTTGATATGCTGTCTTTTAAAACTTAAAGTTATTTTAAAGCAAATCATATATTTTAAAATATACATTTTATAATATACTTATAAACTTACAGTTATTTTAAGAACTTACAGTTATTTATATGTTGTACATACTAATGATATATGTTTAATATAAATATTATATAATACTTAAAACAATTTGAACATATCTATCTCCTTGAACATTTTATCATTTCTTTATGGCAAAAGCTTTCAAAATCCTAGAAGTCTATTTCTTATGTAGAATCCATTAGTAACTGTGAGGTTAATATGTTTCTGCATGAACAGTAGACACAAAAAAGGCAATTTTATACCTTTTTCCTTTAGGAGATGAATATAAAGATCATACAAGCCAAATGGAGAAGGAAGATGATAAAGTTTTTCCTGGTGAAAGTTATACCTATGTTTGGGAGGTCCTGAAAGAGAATGGTCCAATGGCTTCAGACCCTCCATGTCTCACCTATGCATATCTGTCTCATGTGGATCTGGTGAGAGATTTGAATTCAGGCCTCATTGGAGCTCTGCTAGTATGTAAAGAAGGTAACTATAATGAAGAATGGAGTTGAGATGAAACAGAAGGACAAAAACAGCACAATCTGTTAATAACATAACTGTGAGCCTTTAAATTCTTTATTCTAAAAAGGGCTTCTTTTCCCTGGAATTATACTCATAGAAAAGAGAATAATAAGAGTTTTTTTTAAAGCAACAATGTCTGTCTTATGTAATCCAAGTGAACTATAGCTCAAGAACATCCAAGATCTGCAATTAGATCTCTGTTTCCAAATAATTGCTGTATTCCACCTGAAATCTGTGTGTTATCTCAGCAGTGTTTCTTCTCTCCTTTGCTTTTTGAAAACTTTGAGTTTTCTTAAAAGTTTCATGGAAGCACACATACTTGTGTGTGTGACCAATGACATAGTAACTGGATCAGATACTTAGTTTGTCAGCCAAAGGTATACACAAATCTGAGAAAATATGTAGTCACTCATATCTTGTCATTTTAATGATAGTTTTGTTTACCTATTAATTTATAGTTTAATAGCATAAACTTATAAAGAAGTAAACTTATAATTTGATTTTAGTTATTCAGCTGATTTTCTTTTGTTCTAGTTATCTATTGCTCAATAACTATATAATTTGATGGATCAAAGCAACAATAATATGTTGTCTGTTAGTTTTCTTGGGTGTTGTGGAGTTTGGAACTGTCATGTGTATGGATGCGTAAGTTATAGTCAAGACAGTGGTCAGATATGAGATCACCTCAAAGGTATTTCATATGTCTTACATCTATGCTTGGAAGACTTAACTGAGCTCATCTCCCCATGATGTGTTCAGCATAGGCAATAAAGGGGAGCCAGACATTTTATATGGTCTTAAGAAATAGTTCATTGGAAGATGCACTGTAATTTCTGATCATTTCTGTTTCATTTTTTAGGTTATTTCATTAAAGCTGGTCCATTTTGATGGAGGATAGACAAAGAATTTAGCAACATACCTTTTCTGAATAATAATAAATATGTTTCAGAAGAGGGGGAGAAGGCTAAAGTTTATAATTACTTCATTTAGAAATGTGGTCACTTATATTGAGTTCAGTCTTATAGCCACAATTAATAACAAAACAAAATCCCACAAATGTGTTATTTGTGTGACCACAAAGAGTGGTGACACATATGGTATACAAGAAAGTTAACAAGCAAATAGTTTTGGCCAGAATCAATCACTAGCGGTCTAGTTCCGGATAAGATGAAGTAAACAACACATTTTGCTCTTTATCTTTGACTGAATTCAATGATTAAAAATGTGACAAAAAATTGCACCCCAGCTCTTTGAAATTTTAAAAGTAAGAGAAAGCACCAGAATTCAAAGGACCAGCAAACTGATATGGAGGTTACCTTTTTCTCTGTTGCAGTATCCTCCAATCTGTAGTTAAAACACAGCTTGAAACTTAAAAATGAGCACTGTGTCTCAAAGAGAAATCTGAGAACTGGAAAGGTAACATTAGTGTTCAGAGGTAAGGGAGAAATAAGTTTTCACTCCTTTCCTCCATATTTTCATGGCCAAACTCCGGTTATGTCCATGGCAGAGACAATGGCTGGCAACAGAAGCCTACAGGAGCCAAAAAGAAAAGGATGTGGTTCAGATGTGACAGTTGGTACCTTCTGGTTAAGGAACCAAAAAAACAAGAGATAGCTCTGCGCTTTCTATCTCAGAAAACTAGAAAATAATGAGAAAAAAAGGCCCCCATACCTTCTTCCTTCACCGTCTCTTCCTGCTAGTCTCCTTCCCTCCCCATATATATATATTAGGATACACAAAAGACACAAAACATGAAATATTTGCATTTCTGAGTCTGGCTTATTTCCAGTGACATCCATATTCTTGATTATGACATAATTTTATTCTTTTTTTTGTGGCTGAATTTTTTGTGTTTTATTTTGGCTTGTATATTTGTATTTTAAACTCCATTTTCTAGCAATTCATTTTTTTTATTTTACAAAAGTGATGATTTATAAGAAATTAGAAACTTATATAAGTAACCATCTATCTTAGATAATTTTAGACATACCAATTTAAAGGACATGACACCAAAGAACATTACAGCAATACTAGCATTAGGCTCAGTACTTAATTTTTCAATACTCAAATGGTTTCTGAAGAAATTGCTCCCCCTTGTGGCAATTTTCTATAATGGCATTTTAAATTGACAGTAAATGCTTTTACTTTCTCTTTCAGGCAGTCTGTCCAAAGAAAGAACACAGACGTTGTACCACTTTGTACTACTTTTTGCTGTATTCGATGAAGGTTAGTTAACTTCAATCAGACATGTGAATTCCTAAAAGAAGTCAAATATGTAACAAATAGGTGTATCTAGTGTTGGAGAAAATGGGCTGCTCATGTTCAGAAAAAGTCATGTTGATTATAGGAAGACCACAAACTATATTAGTATTCATGAATAAAGGAAATAGGGGACAAGAATGACTCTAAGACCTAAGTTCCAATTCTATCTATGAAGTAAGAAAAAAGAGGACCTTGATTTTAAGTAATAAATACCTTTGGCTCTACTTCATTTTTTTTTAAAAAAAAATAATTAATCTATTTATGTATTTATTTATTTATTACAATTTATTCACCTTGTATCCCTGCTGTAGCCCTGTCCCACATCTCCTCCCAGTCCCACTCACTCTCCCTCTTCTCCCCCTGTGCACTTTCCCTAGTCCACAGATAACAGATATCCTCCTCCCCTTCCATCTGACCCAAGTCTATCAGGTCTCATCAGGACTGGATGCATTGTCTTCCTCTGTGGCCTGGTAAGGTTGCCCCCTCCTCAGGGGGAGGTGATCAAAGAGACAGCCACTGCCCCCATTTCTAGGGAACTCACTTGAAAACTGAGCAGCCTATGGTCTTTCTCTGAGCAGGAGGTCTATGTCCTCTCTATGCATGGTCGTTGGTTGGAGTATCGGTCTCTGCAGGCCCCCCTGGGCGCAGATTTTTTTGGCTCTGTTGGTCTCCTTGTGGAGTTCCTGTTCCTTCTAGGTCTTTCTATCTCCCTCTTCTTCCATAAGGTTTCCTGCACTCTGCCAAAAGTTTGGCTATGAGTCTCAGAATCTCCTTTGATACCCTGATGGAAGACTCCTGTCCTGTTCCTTGTCTTCTACTTCCAATGTTTATCCTGTTTGCCCTTCTGAGTAAGGTTTCAGCTTCTTCAGATCTCGGATCCTCCTAGCAGCTTTATTTGTAATAGCCAGAATCTGGGAACAACCCAGATGCCCCTCAACTGAGGAATGGATACAGAAATTGTCGTACATTTACACACTGGAATACTACTCAGCAATTAAAAATGAGGAAATCATGAAATTTGCAGGCAAATGGTGGAAACTAGAAAAGATTACCCTGAATAAGGTATCCCAGAAGCAGAAAGAGACACATGGTATATACTTACTTATAAGTGGATATTAGACATATAACATAGGATAAACATACTAAAATATTTTAAGGTAGCATTTTTTCAATTTTTTTCACAATTTTTTCACGATTTATCCCAATTGAAGCCCCCTTCCTCAACTCCCTCTGGTCTCACCCTCCTTCCGTCTATCCCCTTCCCCTAGTCCACTGAAAGGGGGAGTTCTCCACCATTGCCATCTGCCTGTAGCTTGTCAAGTCTCATCAGGACTGCCTGGATCTTCTTCCTCTGTGGCCTGGCAAGGCCACATCACCAGGGGTGAGTGATCAAAGAGCAGGCAACCGAGTTCATAACAGAAGCAGCCGCTGTTCCCCTTACTTGGAGATCCACATGGAGACTGACCTGCCAATTGGACACATCTGAGCAGGGGGTCTAGGTCCTCTCCATGCATGTTCCTCTGTTGGTGCATCAGTCTCTGCAGGACCCTCTGGGCTCAGATCCTTTAGCTTTGTTGGTCTCCTTGTGGGGCTCCTGTCCCCTCCATGTTCCTCTATACCCATACCCCTTTTCCATAAGACTCCCTGTGCTCTGCCCAAAGCTTGGCTGTAAGTCTCAGCATCTGCTTCTTCCCCCATTGGGTGGAGCCTTTCAGAGGAGCCTCTATAGTAGGTTCCCATTCTGTTTCCTCTCTTCCACCCCTTCTGGTGTCTATCCTGATTGCCATCCTGAATGAGATTTAAGTATCGTCCCTAGCATTTAGTTTCTTTAGGTCTATAGATGGCTATCCTGTGTTATACAGCTAATATCCACTTATAAGTGAGTATATACCATGTGTGTCTTTCTGCTTCTGGGATACCTCACTCAGGATGATCTTTTCTAGATCCCACCATTTGCCTGCAAATTTCATGATTTCCTTGTTTTTAATAGCTGAGTGGTATTCCACTGTGTAAATGTACCACACTTTCTGTATCCATTCCTACATTTGAGGACATCTAGGTTTGTGGTGGTTCTACTTCTTAAATACCTTATTTTAAAATCAGTTCTCTCCTTCCATCCTGTGGGTTCCAGGGATGGAATTTGACTTGGTGGCAGGCACCGTTACCCACAGAGACATCTTGCTAGCTCCTAAGCACCTTCTTTTAATAATTATCTATTGCTAAGTGTACATTAAGCAAATTACTTACCTCTCTGCATCATTCATTTTCCTCACATTTAAAATTGAAATAATATTTTCATAGGATTATTGTAGAAATTAATTGATTTAACTTAAGTAATTTAGAACACTGTGGCAGAGTAGGTATATAATTCTCTCCCTTTTTATCTAGTTATACTCTTTTCTTCTTATTTGAAGCCATGTCATCTTGATCTTGACTTTGTTTTTTTAATTTCTTTTTTATTAATTACACTTTATTCACTTTGTATCCCCCCTGTAGCTAGCTCGCTCCCTCCTCCCGTCCCAACCCCTCCCTTCCTCCACCCTCTGCACGCATGCCCCTCCCCAAGTCCACTGATAGGGGAGGTCTTATTTTCCTTCCTTCTGATCCTAGTCTATTAGGTCTCATCAGGAGTGGCTGCAGTGTCTTTCTCCATGGCCTGGTAAGGCTGCTCCCCCTTCAGGGACTGGTAATTAAAGAGCAGGCCAATCAGTTCATGTCAGAGACAGTACCTGTTCCTATTACTATGAACCCACTTGGACACTGAACTGCCATGGGCTACATCTGTGCAGGGGTTCTAGGTTATCTCCATGCATGGTCCTTGGTTGGAGTATCAGTCTCAGGAAAGACCCCTGTGCTCAGATTTTTTGGTTCTGTTGCTCTCCTTGTGGAGTTCCTGTCCTCTCCAGATCTTACTGTTTCCCACTTCTTTCCTAAGATTCCCTGCACTCTGCCCAAAGGTTGCCCATAAGTCTCAGCATCTGCTTTGATAGTCTGCAGATTCAGAGCACAGGAGACAACTTCCTGAACAGAACATCAACAGCACAAGCTCTAAGAGCAACAATCAATAAATGGGACCTCTTGAAACTGAAAAGCTTCTGTAAAGCAAAGGACACTGTCATCAGAACAAAACAACAGCCTACAGATTGGGAAGGATCTTCACCAACCCTATATCTGACAGAGGACTGATATCCAGTATATATATAAAGAACTCAAGAATTTTTTTTATTGGTTTTTATACTATATATTTTTTAATAAAGCAGCCTAAGAAATTTTCAGTGCTTCAGCTTTTGTTAGTTTTGGAGAGGAGTTTGGGAAACCTTCAAGTTCCTGGGGTTTCCTTGCTATAGAATAGGATAAAGCAATTTATGACAAGACAAAGACTGATGACCCTTTTAAAAATCTATCATCTAACTTGGAAAATAAAATTCTTGTGGTTCAAACTAACCGGTATTCTCCCTTCTCCTAGTTATCATTAGCCGTTATTCTTCTTCACCTATCTCTATGAACAAATACAGGGAGAATTAGTTTGAAAAAATGTAATTTCCTTCTCAGTGACTGTTTGTGCCTACTCTGCTGACAGAAATTCAGAATGTGAATAGTCTGTGTCACAAAGGAGGAAAAGAAAGAATGAAAGGGGTAGTCTAATTCATGAAACAGAGCTCAACTAACCTCATTTTTCCCTCTCTCACCAGGGAAGAGCTGGCACTCAGAAATAAAGGACTCCTTTACACAGTCTATGGATTCTGCATCTTCAAGAGACTGGCCTAAAATGCACACAGTCAATGGCTATGTAAACAGGTCTCTGCCAGGTATGTACATGGCTGCCCAACAATCCTCAGGGTTTTGGGAATTCGAAACCGTAACTTTTCTCTGCAGCTTTCAGAGACTTCTACATTTGAATAAAAAGCCCACTGAATTCTAGCTTCTGGTTTTTATTTTTTGTTTTGTTCATATATGAAAGAAGAGGAATTAGACTGATAATATAGTAGAGCAATATCTTTAAAAGGGATCTAATGGAAAGATTATTTTAAAGTTATAATTTAGAGCCAAATGATGAATCAGCTTTGGGGAATAATAGAAAATGTTATCAGCCATGGAAGGCCTTAGAAAGCACTGAATATATACTACAGCAAAACTAAAGTTTAAATTAAAAAACATGCTTGTGTTATTTAGCAGTATGATTGTCATTTGTGACCTTGGCAAGAGCCATTGGTTTGTTAGTACCCTAACTAACTTCCATGGTAACTTTGTTTATAAGCAAAGGTAGCAGTAAAAATTTCTAGGGTCATTTTGTCCATCCTATCCTAGCAAATATTTTTAGTTTTATGTTCCTTATTTCTTTGTCATAGCTGTCTCATTCCCATTTTCCAGGTCTGATTGGATGCCATAGAAAATCAGTCTACTGGCATGTGATTGGAATGGGCACCACCCCCGAAGTACACTCAATATTCCTCGAAGGTCACACATTTCTTGTGAGGAACCACCGTCAGGCTTCCTTGGAGATTTCACCAATAACTTTCCTTACTGCTCAAACACTTTTGACAGATCTTGGACAGTTCCTCCTATTTTGTCATATCTCTTCCCATAAGCATGGTACTACTATCTTGGATCTTAAAAATAAGTACTATAAACGATTCCATTCTAATTTTAATGAAATTACCTGAGCAGTATACGATACAGTGTGTTGCAGGAATGACATTATATAGTTATGATTATGTTAGACTTCAATTGAAATCTAATGTAAAGATTTTTGTCTTGATTATAGAAGGACTTTATTGTTAGTACAATAGTATTGTGGGGTTTTGGTTAAATGTCTGTGACAGAAGGAGGAGACATAGTTTAGGAATGAATGAAACAGGAAAAATGAAAGACAGTATGTTCGTGGTTTTACAGCCTGAACTCATTAACTAGGCTTCAGCTATGGGAAAAAGTGAAGAAATGTTTCTATACAGGGAAATGAGGTATAACATGAATTTTCAAGGACTTTTTGATGGAGGTTTTGCAAACCAGTAAAGGGCAAATGTAAGCAAGTTGGGACAATTGTGACTACAGTGTAACTCCTGGTCACATGACTTTATAGGTAGTAGCTGTGCAAATTCATATTGAATAATCATTTTACTTTCATTTTCTTTCTTGTATATTAACTTTGTTAATTTTTTAATCTTGTATCAACCTATAGCTTTTTCTTGATTATGTCCATTTAAGGCTGTCTTAGTTTTATTGCCAGAACAGAACATCAAAAATAGGGTAAATTTATAATAAACAGAAAGTTATTGTCTCACACAGTTCAAGAGCCTAGGAAATCCAATATCAAGATGTTGTCATTTCCAGGGAGTGGTAGCACACATCTGTTATCCCAGCACTGTGGGAGGCAGAGGCAGGTGGATATTTGTGAGTTCAAGGCCAGCCTGGTCTACAAAGTGAGTTTAGGGTTACACAGAGAAACCCTGTCTTCGAAAAAAAAAAAAGATGTTGTCATTTGGTAGGAGATTTCTTTTTGTATTATGTTACAGAAAAATGATACACATGGCAGAGGGACAAAAGAGAAAGAGTGAAAGGGAGATAACAAGCCATTCTTGAAGTAACAAAATTAGTTCATCAATGAAATGGATACAAAATAGCTTTACATGGACCTACTTGCTAAGAACATCCAAATGGCAATTAAATTTCAACTTGAGTTTAGGAGAGGGCAAACGGTCAACATATAGTAAGAACTGTTAGAGCAAAACTATGTTGAGACCCTTAATTTATATCCTTAACATTAAGGATATATGTTTTCTTTATATTACTTTCACTTAACATTTCATTTCTTGGTTACCTTAAAAAGGGGTTTGATCTTGCCATGTGTTTATCATTATATCCTATATATTTTTATAATTGACCTTTTTCTACTAATTTATAGTAATGAAAAATATATTTTACCTTTTCTGGCTCATATTTGTGGAATTTTGATAAGAAAAATAGAGATAAATAAGTCATTTACTTGTATGCTGTTTAGTCATTGTCAAGTTGGAGCCTGATAAATCTGACAGTTTATATTTGTTAATTCCTTTTGACTATTCTCTAATTTTAATATTTATTTTCCATAAAAATAATTACTCTAATTGAACCATTCAAAATACTTCATTTTTACAACTAATTTTTTATTATTCATTCATTTTTATTTAGCATTTTAAGTTAGCAGATAAAATAATGAGCTTAATTATGACCTTTTTATACATATGTCATGAGGCACTACAAGACTAATGTCTCACCTCCACAGTTACCCAATGATTTCTGTATTTAATCCATTGTAGTATCATATAGTTGTTGATTTAATAACATCTTATCAGGAAAAATATAATGGGGACTCCATTTGTAAACTTTGATAAGCTCAAAACCAGTTTACAGGACAAAACCAATGTAAAGGTGAAAGGAGAAAACTAACTCCACAAAGGTGTTTTATGGACTTCACATGAATGCCATGTCACATGTCTGCACTCTCATATCAATCACACACATACACACACAGACACACACACACAAATAATTAGTTCCAAAGAGAACTATCCATATACATTCAAATATGTTATATTAATGAATTTTGGAATGGAAATGCCTATATATTCATACATATTGTGATATTAATGAATTTTAGAGAAGGTTCCAATCTACATAGAGTCTAGTTGGATAAAATATAAAATGTAGAAACCAACAAATACTATAATATATTTCATATAGGATTTGAAAAAGAGACATGTAAGACAAAAAAAATCTTTAAATCCAAATAAGAGGGGAAAATTCATAACATTTGACCCAACAAAGTTAGGACTCTGACATTATTTGGGTTGTCTGACTACAGATGGCATGGAAGCTTATGTCAAAGTAGATAGCTGCCCTGAGGAAACCCAATGGCAAAAGAAAAATAATGAGGAAATAGAAGATTATGATGATGATGATCTTGATTCAGAAATGGACGTGTTCACATTGGATAATGACAGCTCTCCTTTTATCCAAATTCGCTCTGTTGCCAAGAAGTACCCTAAAACTTGGATACATTATATTTCTGCTGAGGAGGAAGACTGGGACTATGCTCCTTCAGTTCTCATCTTGGATGATGGGTAAGCATCTTTGGACTCTTGATACTATGCTCCCCTATACTTGGATTCTTCTTACTTATTCAAAACAATGAATCCTTAAGCCATATATTTTTGGATTTTGTTTTTTCTTCTTTTACTTTCTATTTCTTTTTGCCTTTTTTGAGACAGGGTTTCTATGTGTAGTCCTGGCTGTCCTGGACTCACTTTGTAGACCAGGCTGGCCTCGAACTCACAGAGATCTGCCTGCCTCTGCTTCGCTGAGTGCTGGGATTACAGGTGTGCACCACCGCACCCAGCTCTTAAATCATAGTTAAGAGCTAATATGTCATGGGATGAAATGGATGCTGTGTTGACTACCATTCCAGCACTGTGGCAAATATCTAATAATTAACAGCTTATAAGTGGGAAAGTTTTATTTTGAATCATGGATTTGGAATTTTCAGTCTGTAGTTGCTTGATTATTGCTTTGGGCTTGGAACAGCACAGAAATTCACAATAAAGTGCACAGTGGAAGGGGTCTATTCCATACACAGCTGTTAGGAAACCAAGAGTGGGATGAAAGAGGCCTGAGGTTCCAATATCATCTCCTTCAAGAGCATGTCCCCAGTAACCTTAGTTCTTCCCACTAAGATCCAGCTCTTTTTTTTTTTATTTCACATTTCTTTCAGTAGTTCGGCAAATATATACACACATATGTACATGTACACACATGTCATATATACATACATACACCAATATTAAGACACAAAGAAAACAGTTAAGCACTAAAATTGGGACTCTAGCTAAAAAGTATGGAAAAGTTCATTGTACTGCCTGGCTACTTTACTGTAGCTTTGGGATTGTTCAATAATCATATGAAGCTAACTTACATTGTTTGTAAGTAGAAACATTGGCAATAAGGTGGTATTTCAGGACAATGGAATTCTGAGAACAATAAGCTTATGAGGGAAAACCTCACAGGAACTTCTTCTGCTACAGGTATCTCTACTCTGGTATGAATGTTGGATTTGCCTTTCTAGTTATCATATAGTCTGCATGTTTCTTTTTCCAAACTAAGAAAAAGTAAAAAAAAAAAAAAATGGAATGAAGTATATAAAAACTTTTAAAACTTTTCATTGATTCTTTGTGAACTTCATATCATGCACCCCAATCCCACTCATATCCTCATCCCTTTCATATCGAACCTCCAACCTTTTAACTCCCTCCAAATAAGATAGAATTTAAAAAAAATCTTGTCATGGAAGTTTTAGTGTCACACAATATATACCCTTTTGCCTACATATCTTTATTTGCAAATATTCATTGCAATGAGTCATTGGTCTGGTTCGAGGCATCTGGCTTCTGCTACACTATCAATACTGGATCCTCACAGGGACTCCTCTAGTATATCCTGTTTCATGGAGATCCTGTAGCTGTGAATCTATAGAACCAGCAGCCCTTTCATGCACTCCAGCATTTCACACATGAGGTAGATGTTGGGGTAGTCCAACTCAAAGCTTCAGATCTGGGCCTGGGATGTAGCTGAGTTGGTCAGCCTAACAGGTACCCTTCACCCACACCACCAGGGCAAGGTCTCTAGCTTACCCAATGCCACAGACAGCAAGAGGTAGGGTCAGTTCTCTTGCTCTTGTACCCTCGAGACTGCATTACTTATGCCTTCACCACCAGGACCAGCTCTACTGTGCTGTTCACTCTTCCAAGTGCTGCAGCTAATGAGGGGCAGAGACAGCTCTCCCACTCTCATGACCTCACAGCCAGCTCTACTGCCTGCCTCAGATAATGAGGGGCAAAGAAGGGAGAGCATCTTTCCCTTGCCCATGTTACGTCATGCAGAGGAGGAGTAAGACCAGCTCTCCCGCACCCATGCCCTTGCCCTCAGGGTCTGCTCATCTGCACTCCTTCCACCAGGGTCAGTTCTACTGTGCTGCCCAGGCAAGGTGCAGTGCCTGCTCTCCTCAGTGCTGCATAGGCTCGAGTTCTGTGTGTGTGTGTGTGTGTGTGTGTGTGTGTGTGTGTTACATATATTGCTTTATTTTACTTTTTTCTTTATTAATTACACTTTATTCACTTTGTATCCCCCCTGTGATTTCCTCCCTCCTCCCATCCTAATCCCTCCCTTCCTCTACCCTCTGCATGCATGCCCCTCCCCAAGTCCACTGATAGGTGAGGTCTTCTTTTCCTTCCTTCTGATCCTAGTCAATTAGATCACATCCGGAGTGGCTGCCTTGTCTTCTTCTGTGGCCTGGTAATGCTGCTTCCCCATTAGGGGGAGGTAATTAAAGAGCAGGCCAATCAGTTCATGTCAGAGACAGTCCCTGCTTCTATTACAATGGAAACCACTTGGATACTGAAGTGCCATGGGCTACATCTGTGCAGGGGTCTTAGGTTATCTCCATGCATGGTCCTTGGTTGGAGTATCAGTCTCAGGAAAGACCCCTGTGCTCAGATTTTTTGGTTCTGTTGCTCTCCTTGTGGAGTTCCTGTCCTCTCCAGATCTTACTGTTTCCCACTTCTTTCCTAAGATTCCCTGCACTCTGCCCAAAGGTTGCCCATAAGTCTCAGCATCTGCATTGATAGTCTGCAGGGCAGAGCCTTTCAGAGGTAGGCTCCAGTTCTTAATGGTTCTGCCACTTCCTACTAGCTCCATACCCTTGTGACTAAGCCTTTAACATGTGTATTCTGTGGAGATTCATAAAACAGTAGATATTAGCATAGGTAAGCCTAAGGCTATGCTTTTCTCAGTCCTTGTTTTGACTAAATCATATTAGAACTGGGTTTTTGATTATTTAAACATTTTCAGTCCTTACCTCTAATCTTTTTGCCTCTCATACAGAAGTTATAAAAGCCAGTATCTGAGCAATGGTCCTCATCGAATTGGTAGGAAATATAAAAAAGTCAGATTTATAGCATATACAGATGAAACCTTCAAGACTCGTGAAACTATCCAGCATGAATCAGGAATCTTGGGACCTTTACTTTATGGAGAAGTTGGAGACACACTGATAGTAAGTAAAGGGGAAAATATAAGATTGCTTAAGAAAAAAAGAAAGTATCCAGATTGGAGAGATAGCCCAGTGGTTAAGAGCACTTGTCTTTCTTAAAGCAGAACTGAGTTCAGCTCCCAACACTCACATACTCACATGGTGGCTTACAGTGTTCTGTAACTATAGTTCCAGGGAATCCAAAGGCCTCTGCTGACCTTTATGGGTACTAGGCATACACACATACAGGCAAAACACTCATACACATAAATAAATATTTTTTTTTAAAAAAAAGAAAATCTGGAAGGATTTGAGTTTCAGTAATCCTTCAAAATTCAGCATAGTCTCCAATGGAAAGACTCTTTTAAAAATTATAAATGTTACACAAATAAAATATACTCATATGTAATGAGTACATAGAGTAAAAAATTAATGTGACCAATCACACTCTCAACTTCTTTTAACTACTCAATATTTAGACCAGTACATACATATCCTCCCAGAACCTTTTTCATTGTATTTTTTTCTTCATTAACTTTTAAAATACAAATTATACTCTCACTTCTAGAAGTAGTCTTTAGGCATCTTTAGTGCTGTTTTCATGTTACTGCTTTTTCATTTTTACTCTTCTTTAAATTTTTTGTAATCATTGTCACCTGCCACCCTTGGTTGAGGCTGTAAATTGTCTTCCTAGTTATGTCTTCTTATTAAGTGATAAATCCTATAACCTGAATCACTGTCTCCTTCTCAAGTGTTAAAGAATTAAGTACCAAGAATACAGAAAGCCTGAAGACAAGTAGTGTCCTTAGCAGACACCAAATTTCACTTTTTTGGGGAAATACAAGCAAGACTTACTGAAGCACATGAAATTGAAAAGGGCTATGACAATCCTAAGCAGCTACCTGAGCTTCCTTTTCATGAAAAGAGCAAATATATTGAGTTTTATTAAGGGCCCAGACTCCTATAATGTAGATATAGGCAGCATTTGACTTTTTGGAGCCAGGTCACAGTTTTCTTTTTGATCCTAGTCATCTTAAGACTTATAATTTCAGATTATATTTAAGAATCAAGCAAGCCAACCATATAACATTTACCCTCATGGAATCACTGATGTCAGTCCTCTACATGCAAGGAAATTGCCAAAAGGTAAGCAGTATCTCAGTTTATAGGTCTTTCTTGATATAGATACACTTGAGGCACAACTCCAGCTGTTGACCTGTAAATTTTACAATAATTTCACGTGATTCTTCTTTGCTTTGTCTAAACATTTATGCTAAAAATAATAAGTGCAAAAATAGCATGTGTACCATTTTAGTAATGCAAGGTCATTTTATAAATATATTTACCATGCAATTAGGTAATATGCTGTGATTGTTTTCTTGCCCACAGTCTTAATCATTTTATTATTAAAATAAAATAGATTATTCCTCATGTAAGAATATGCAAATATTCATATTATTTCTATTATTTGTAATAAGTAAAATTGTTCAAACTAATACGTCAAGAAAAGTCTCCTGGGCCCATTTTTATTGTATTGTGTAAAATAATTTTGTGAATCTGAAGTTTGCCACAGATGCAATTTAACTTTCTGTTTACTGAAAAATTTTACATAAACATATAGATTAGTAGTTCCCTTGAAATAAAAGCATGATTACTGTTAAAAGGAGAACTTTAGATATACTGAACGTTACAGAGTTTACTTGAGAAAAGTAATAATTCATGAATTAATTTTGGACTTAAAATGATTCAGAATGCTTCACCTCACCACACACATACACACAGACTGTATTTATAGACAGAGAACAGAAAGTGACATAGGAATAACCTGGTTAAGTGCATCCAACAATTGTCTCATATGATATTTTTTATAGCTTCAGCTTTTCATTGGCTGGAGGTTCAACTGTTATGATTTGCTAAGACTCAGCTATTTGTTTCAAGAGTATACTTTCAAGTTAGGTTAAAATTGTTTATATACAAAGTTAGGTTACAGTTTCTATGCACAGAGCCCTTTAACACAATCTTAAAACAAGGACCAAATATATCAGGGCACAGGGGTCTTTCATGAGACTGTTTCTCCAACCAAGGACCATGTATGGGTATAACCTAGAACCCCTGCTCGGATATAGCCCATGGTAGCTCAGTATCTAAGTGGGTTCTCTAGTAAGGGGAACAGGGACCATTTCTGACATGAACTCAATGGCTGACTCTTCGACACCATCCCCTGAGGGAGGATCAGCCTTGCTAGGTCACAGAGGAGGACATTGCAGCCAGTCCTGAAGACACCTGATAAGCTAGGGTCAGATGGAAGGGGAGAAGGACCTCCCCTATTAGTGGACTTGGAAAGGGGCAGGAAGGAGATGAGGGAGGGAGGGTGGGATTGGGAAGGAATGAGGGAGGGAGCTACTGCTGGGATACAAAGTAAATAACCTGTGATTAATATAAAAAATTAAAAATTAAAAAAATGTGGATAGAAGCAGGTTTAGGCCAGACTTAATTCAAAATTACTAAATACGTAGTCATTATACTCTAATAATATATTTCTGGTTTGGATGTGGGTAGGTGTAAAACATTTGAAAGATTTGCCAATTCATCCAGGAGAAATATTCAAGTATAAATGGACAGTTACTGAAGAAGATGGACCAACTAAATCAGACCCACGGTGCCTGACCCGCTATTATTCAAGTTTCATTAATCCTGAGAGGGATCTAGCTTCAGGACTCATTGGCCCTCTTCTTATCTGCTACAAAGAATCTGTAGATCAAAGGGGAAACCAGGTGAGGTCTTCTCTTCCCAAGTACTAAGTGTGAAACTAAAAGTGGGATAAAATGCCTATGAACTTCAAGATATTTCCTGTACTCTCTTGGTATAGGTATCTCTATAACCTATAGAAAACATAACCAAATAAAAGTGATTCAGCTGAGTTCTGCTTAGCTTTCATTAAATTTGAGTTTTCTGAGAAAATTGCCTTCTGGGTAAACAGAAAACCAGAATCCTAGATTCTTTCTATAATACTCAGTCCCAATCTGGGATTTTGCTTTCCCCAGAGGATCCCGCCCATTTTTACCTGTCTAATTGCCACTTACATTTAGATGATCAAATTTTTTTTGAGACAAGATTTCAGGTATTCCATGTTGGCCTCAAACACCTTAAGCTAAAGAAGATCTTTGACTTCCGGTCCTCCTGCCTATGCCTTCCGAATACTGTAATCATACACCTATGATGCCACCATGCGCAGTTTACGCAGTACTGGAGATGAGGTCCATGGCTTTGTAAATGCAAGGCAAACACTCTACCAACTAAGACACATTCCCAGCCTCCACAATTTTTAAACATACACGCTTATGACTACAGCCTGTTTCTCTATGTATTTTCTCTGGAATACATAGGAAATTCTAGCCCAGCTTGACCTATGAGCAAAACCCTGACAGAAAATAAAATTAACCTGTATGTAGCTTCTACAACAGTAAGGAGTCAACATTTGTTGAGCAAAATAGAGAAAAATATAGAATTATTTCAGATTGTGGTTAGTATTTAGATAATTTTTGCTACTTTAGAAAATTATCTGAGTAAGAAAAACTTAGTTCTTTACAAAATTCTCATTTCTTGGCTCCAGAAGAACTCAGTGCTTTATTTTGATGGCTATGCATTCATTTTGGCTATTTAGGATACATAAATTCCTACTAGTTAGAAGGCATTTCATAGATTTGAATGAGAATAGCACATGTACTTGAGTGCAGGCATGTCAGATGGTATACAAATCCAGAGTACTGACACTTTGAACTAATATTTGGATATGACAAAATATATGTCCTGAGAATTTTCCCTAATTATATTTTGCACTAGCTTTTGCTTCCAAAAACCAACGTGTATTCTGACTGAAATATATGTTCTCCAGTTTCCTCTTCAGCATTTTGACTTTTGCAACTACAAGCCATACAAAGTTAAACTTACACATAAGAATTTTAGATATTAAATCATATACTCAAATTAGCAGGTGACTAATTCATGAATTTGGTTCATTATACAAAAAGCTATACTAAGATACTAGATCTTTTTAAACAAAATCATTAAGGTATTACTTAGTATTCATCCTGTAATATCTGATTTCATTTTTACATTTTTAATTTACTATAAGCTGATAGCCTCATGTAAAGATATTTACAAGATAAGAACTTACAAATGATATTTGATTGGGATGATCTTTAAAGATCTATATTTCTATACATTAAGCATGGGGAAAATGAAAATACTGGTATAAATGGTACCAATATATGATCTTGGGTCAAGGAGGAATGAAATTTACTAGAACCAGTTACCTTCTTGCCTTGGGGTTGCATTAATTTTAAACATATAATCATCACTGTTCAGAGAAAATGAATTGAGCCAAAGGAATAGTATATGCCATCTTCTTTCTTAAGCTATCTACAGTAGGAGTGGCATTTCCATCTCCCTTTTAATATATGTTATTAACAGATGATGTCAGACAAGAGAAATGTCATCCTGTTTTCTCTGTTTGATGAGAACAAAAGCTGGTACATCACAGAGAACATGCAACGCTTCCTCCCCAATGCAACTGATACACAGCCTCAGGACCCTGGATTCCAGGCCTCCAACATCATGTACAGTGAGTGAAGAATCATTTGTATTCAGTGCACGTTTGGTAAAGAGAAATTGATACCTCCAACTTATGTCTAGATAATATCTTTTATGTATAGACTATAAATAAATATGTAACTATGACTATCTAATGCATATTTTTAACATTCCACTGACCACTTTTTCTTTTAGTGTTTTCTTGGTTACCCTGTCCTTTTAATTTGTATTTTATCGCCTATATTACTCCTTTTCACCAATCATTCCATACCAAGATAACTCATTTCAAAATACTTTCTTATTATTATATAATCATATTCTACATACATGGTATTCACCTTTTTAAGATGTTAGATGTACCTCTTCACAGTGTTAGAAGGTAGAAATCTCTGATCAAAGTGTCAGAAGACTTAGTTTCACCCTTGTGTGGTCTTCCCTATGTACCTGTCTTTCTGTATTGTAATCATCTCTTATAGAGAAATTAGGATCTGCACTAATTACTTTATTTTAACTAATTTTCTTTTTAAAGATCCATCTCTAAGTACAGCCACACTTAAAAGTATTAGAATTTCAAGTGTCAACATGAAAATTGAGGGTAACATGATTCAGTATATAAAATATGTGTGTTGTGTTACACTCGTTTTTAAACTATTTTATTTGGGTTTCATTATAGCCTTTCCCTTCCAACCCCCCAAGGTTGAAGAGAGGTAGAAGAAAGGTTAGTAGGGACAGAGGGTGCAAACCCCTTTACTTTTCCCGGCTGTTTAAGGTCAGTGGATTTTTTTAAGTGCTATACCAATTCTCCATCAACAGTTTCAAAAGCAGCAAGCAGTGTCCTCCTTGCTGCAGTATTGAAATGTTTCTTTCCACCTGTCTTTAAGCCACCACACCATCTGTCTCTGATCTCTCCAAACTGCTACTCACCACAGGGCCACCTTTTTTGTCTCCAGGATCTCCTATTTATATCCCTCAGAGCCCTAGACTCCGCCCCTCTCCATGCTGCACTAGGCAGGCTGTTACCAGCTGGCAAAGACCATGCCCCACAGGAGGCAATTATCAGCTGTGGACAAACTAAAGCCCAAACTAAAATCCCACAGTTGGGGTTAAAACAAAAACATATTTACATAACATAACTGAGTTTTTAAAGAAACCAAAGCTTTCATTACAGTGTTGTATATATAAAAATATAGATTTGAATAGGAAAAACATAATAAAAATTTAATCTTACTATCCTACTAGAAAAGGACTTTATCAGTGATACAGATACGGATACAGCATACCTATCAACCTGGCAAAATTACAAGACCATTATTACTAGTGGGTATGGGTAAAAAGGGACTGCCATACAGTGCTAGTAAATAACACTAAAGTTCTTTTTTAAATTTTAAATATGTTATTTTGAAGTCCTGATTCTTGTTGGGATAGGATAAATACATGCCATGCCATGTTTCATACAATGTAACTAAAATTCAAATCATGAGAAATCACGGAAAAGCTGCTTAAGAACAGAAGCATGGAAAGTTATGTTGTAGGTTACACTCACCTTCCAGGGTGTAACTTCTATCAGAATTCTGTGCCTTTTATCTTGTAGTATTAGTCCTCAGCTTCAAGTCCAGCTGAGCCTTACATTTAATTTGAATTTCTGGTAATAGTTGCCTCTTATAATTTAGAGCCTTAGTAGTTTACTCTCTATTCTTCTAAAACTTTTGATGTTTATAGTCCCTTCAGTTGCATTTACATTTCTTCATACTCAAAGACACAGCTTGTTTTGTCAAGAGTCTGACTTGTAGTATTTAATTGAGATGGCACGTAATTTTTTTCTCCCTCCTTTCCTCCAAGGTCATGATTTTGTTGTTGATTTTTCCCACCTGACAGAATTATTTTATTAAGCATTTTATTATTTTCCTAGAATAGTATAAACTAGATATCTATGATTTTATTTTTCTATCCATCAATTTTCCATTTCCTACTATAGCTTGTCTCAAATATTAGGACAATCACCTATCTGGGCAGTGAAAGTACATTATTTCAATGGACACAGTGTTTAAAGCAAGAGAGAGATGGTTACAAAAAATCTAAAAAAGGAGGGAAATGTTTTAGTCAGAGTTCTCTAAAGTAACAGAACTTATAGAGTCAATCTATATGTATTGATATAGATATCAACATCAATAGAGATACAGATATAGAAAGTAGATTTATCAGAATGGTTTACAGGCTGCAGTCCAGCTAATCCAACAATGGCTGGCTGTCAATGGAAAGTCTAAGAATCCAGCAGTTGCTCAGTCCACAAGGTTGGATGTTTCAGATGACCTTCAGTAGACACTGGAATCCTGGAGAAGTAGGCTCTAATACCACTGAAGGAATAGATGTGTTAGCAAGGCAAGGGAAAACAGGCAGAGAACAAAAGCTTCCCTCTTCCATGTACTTATATAGTTTTTCAGCAAAAGGTGTGGCCCAGATTAAAGGTGTGTCTTCCAGTTTCAAGATCTGAAAGTGTGTCTTTTCCTATCTCAAAAGATCTGGATTAAAGGTGTGTCTTCCTAACTCAAAGACCCAGATTAGAAGTGGATCTTCCTGCTTCAAATTTATCAAAAATTCCTCAACGGTATGCCCTCCATTTTGGGGTTTTAGTTCCAAATGTAGTTAAGTTGACAACCAAGAACAGTCATCACAACACATAAAAATAGAGTGGTTACCAAATTCTGGGTGGTGAAGTGAAAAGTTGGTCAAAAGACAGAAAATTTCAGTTAGAAAGAATGAGTACAAGAGAGTGTATATTATGATTACTACAGTTAATAGATACACTTGCAAACTGAAAATAAATTATATATTTCAGGTGTTCTTTCTTCCTACAAAAGTATGTACATATGAGTGTGTATAAAAATTGCATGTTAAACAACTTGATTTAGCCATTCTATGTCAAAACATCATATTATATACTATAAATATATATTTTCAATTAAAAATTAAAGATTGGGAAGAATAAGTAAGTCTAGTAACTTTTTAAAAAAGATTTATTTATTTATTATTTATATAGTACACAAGAAGAGGGCATCAGATCTCACTATTGATGGCTATGAGCCCCCATATGGTTGTTGGAAATTGAACTCAGGACCTTTGGGAGAACAGCCAGTGTTATTTAACCTCTGTGCCATCTCTCCACTACCAAGTCTAGTAACTTAAATATAGCTTATATTACAGTGAATTTGAGATAATTAATATGCATTTAGGCTGGGTTTGGTGAAGTCACCTCTCATCCCAGCATTTGGAAAGCTGACACAGTAGAATGATAAAGTTGATTCTAGTCTTGACTGTGTCTTTTTTAAAGATTTATTTACTTAGTATATAGATGTTTTATCTGCATGTACACTTGCTTTGCACACCAGAAGAAGGTATGGAATCCAATGGAGTATAGCTATAGACAGTAGTGAGCTGCCATGTGGGTACTGGGAATTGAACTCAGGACCTCTGGAAGAATATCCAGTGCTCTTAACCACTGAGCCATATCTCCAGCCCCCTTGACTATATCTTAAAAAGAAAAAGAAAAGAATTTAACAAATAAAGTTCATAGTATCACACTAAAAAGGAACACTAGTGACATAATTCTATATATACCAAAAAGTCTAAAATTTAACAATCTTCTAAGGCTAGAAATGGAGAGCAGTGATACAACTTGTGTTTAATATATATGAGAGCCTGACATCAATCCTCAGTACTGAAAAATAAAGGGCAGACCATACCAAGTAAAGATGTGAAAATGTAGCAGAGCAACAACAAGAATTCTCATATATTGATGCTTAAGATGGACATTTGTATAACTACATTGGAAAAGTACTTGTCAGTAACTAAGGCTGAACATAGGCATGTATTGAGTCTGTATCAGCTTCAGGGTATATATATATCTGCTATGGGCTGAATCATATCCCTTCCCAATTTATAATGTAGTAGACTGATGCAATTTGACTAATATTCTTATGAGAAGAAGCTATTTAGATACAGAAACACTGGAGGGAAGATCTCGTCAGCAAAGAAAACCATTTTTAAGTCAGTAGTTCTCACAAAGAGCCAACATTGCCAACATCCTGGTATGACACTTCTGGCCTTGGGAGAGATGAAGAAATATGTTTGTGTGGTTTCAGTCTCCTGCTCTGTAGTATTTTGTTGTGCCATCCCTAGCAGACTAATGCAGTAACATCTGCCTGCCTCTAGTTATACATAGTTCACAAAGAACATGTATTAATCCATATGAAAGTTATTTTTGTTAGTGATGTGAAATGATGTGGAATATTTTTTTCCAAATGAACAGTTATATTTACCATAATAATTTACCAACTAGTTCATTATTTTTACCTACCCTTTCTGAGATGCTGCCTATAAAAGGAACTTTTATTTATCTGGTTCAGTTGTTGTCTTGGAAGATTACTGCCGCCATCTGCTAACCTAGGCCTAGTCTTGGAAGCTTCCAGCCTCCGTACAATCTAACTTAGGCCTAGAATGTTTTCAGCCTCTGAGACTTACAGCTGAATAAGCACACCCTTTCTTGTTCTTTCTGAATTGCTCTGCTTGGCCTCAAACTAACTCGAGCAATCTGCTCTACTCTTCTGCCTCCTTCTCATTTTTTGTCTTATTTGATCTTCACTTATGTTCTTTTTCTGCAACCTATCTCTCTATTAGTGTCCCAGTAAAACTGCCTCTTCTCTCTCTGCACTGCCAAGCAGAGCAATTCAGAGGCGGGGAGAAATGGCAGATTGAATAAGTCACCTGGGAGAGCAGTTTGAGCCAGAATAGCTGAATTGAACCAGCTGCCCTTTATATATATATAATTTAATTTACATCTATCTATATCAGTTTCTGAACTCTGTATTTTGTTTGATATATTTGCCTACATTAATAGTACCTTTAAGTGAGCTGGAGAGATGGCTGTTCTAGTTTCATTCTGTGGCTATGGTAAAACACTCTGACTTAAACAACATGGAGAGGAAAGGGTTTATTTGGGTTATACTTCCAAGCCACAGTCCACCACTGAGGGAA